TACTTACGACTTTTTATATGCTTGCGACTCACACTATAATGACTTGATATATGTGTGCACATCGCTGGGTCGGTCGATCATCAAGCAGGTCTGTGGCCAGCATGCTTGACTCACGCAAATCTCCTCACTGCCACAAGCAGCACGTTCGGCTGGCCAGCCAGGCGAGGGGTTTTGATCAACCTTTGTCTGATCACCAGCAGCTATATTCCAGGCCGTCGCACTGGTGCCTACTACTGTGAATCTAACTGTACTACCATGCAAGTCACGAGTCCTCGCTGGGCACCTTGCGTGCCCGCCAAGTGCGTCTTCGCGCGAAGCGAATGCGCTTCAAGAGAATCTTCTCGACAATACAAGCGTCGTTGGAGATCACAAATCGCCCTCTGCCATCCCCTATTCGTGATTTGCCAAGTGTCGAGTGGCCTGTTGATCGAACGCAATAATCGAAATGCCTCTCAAGAGTTTTGCAAAGCCTCAAGTCATGGGTCTACAAGGCCAATGCTCAAGGCTCAGCCGAATAGATCGTGGAGAATTTGTGCCGATGCCAAGCCCCACCACGCGGCGTTCTTTGTGGGTCATCGTGGTAAGATGCACAGCCAGCTTTCATGCTACAGACTAGTTACAAGTAGTAGCACTCAGACTAAGCAGTATGTCTAGACTACATCTGCAGCAGAAGTCGAGGACCAGGGCTGCTCAGATCAGGGCGTTGGACCATCGTGGCGGTGAAGCTTGACATGCACGCTGAGCCGATGTACCATTGATGTGTCTGTTCATGCGGACAGGCCTCATCTCATCATCTCTGGCGCGAGGAGGAGGGCAAGACGTCATAGCAGGCCACTTGACTCGAAAAGGCAGTCGCGATGATCCACGCGACCTGACCTCGTGTCTGGCGATCCCCTTTTACTGTGACTCTCGAAGAAGCCTCTTTTGTGGTCTGGCAGGCACACACACTAGTCGTCGTATTGCCGATGGGTGGCTGTACGCTATGCAACGTCGCCTGCTCTGTCAGTGTACAGTATGTACCGGACGATTTCATCACGAAAGCCTTGCCCTTGACACGCTCGAGCGTCTGTTGACGTACGTCTGATCTCACATGGTGCTCTGCTCGGCAGATTTCCTGATCGATTCGAACGAGGTGCTGAGGCGCTGAGGCGCTGGTTTCGTGACAAGGAAATGACTTCGCTGCTTCAGCTTGGCTCCCTATGGTGGTGCAGAACAGTCAAGTCGCCTTTTACTTTCGCCGGTCTCGTAGGATCAAAAAGTCACGAGTGGCTCTGGCGAAGTGGTGAGAAGTGTGAGCACGGGAAGGTCAGCCTAGTTGAACCGGCGAATGGTCAGCGGTCGTTGGTATACATCTGCGCAGGAAACGAGCATATGAGACAGAAATCTTGGGTTCAGCTGCGCTCCTCTGCTACTGCCTGCTGCCTGCTGCCTTGCCTCTGAATTGCGGTTGGAGCGCTGGAAGACCTTGATGCAGGTGCATGCTTCTATTCGTGCATGCACCCGTCGACGGACGGCACGAGAGCTGAACGAGAAGCAATTGATCTGCTAACGGTACGTGAGCACTCACAGCTGGAACTGGCCATCACATACTGTACTTGTGATTCTATGTATGGTGGCCTACTCACGACTGTACATGTAGGTGGATGTGCGCTGTCCGCAAAAGATCCTCGCCCGAGAGGTGCGCCAAGAGATCACGACTGGTCAGAGTGCAGTATAGGCTGAGCACGAGCACGCAGACGAGCTGTAAAACTGAGGCAGAGACAGAAGACGAAGGCGCTGCGCCGGTCGAGCTCACGGAGATTCAGAAAAAGATACCGACGGTTACTCGACGCTTCTATCTGCAGCTTTACAATTTGCGTGCAGAGCTCCATTTAAATAGCAGTCATAGCGTTTCATTTCATTTGAGGCCATTCTGAACTTCGGATTTCGATCGCCTCCGCGCGTCGAAGACAGCCGCAGGTACACTCACACTCACACCGGTACTGTGCAGCAGCAGCACGGCGCGAATGAAGTCGTGATTCGAGTGCAAAGCGCAACCGAAATGGATGAATCAAATGAAATGATTTAGCTCCGCGCAGCATACGTCGATAGCGTGCACATTGACTGCACCCATGCACCCGTGCACAGCGTCTTTCCACTTCGCAACTCCATCGAAAACGTACCCGCACAGCTCATCACACCACCCATCCTTTCCACCTTCAAGTCTACTTCCATCCGAGTCATCTGCCACTCACACTGTCTCAGCAGCAAGACGTGAGCGCAAACAAATGCTCCAGTGCACTGTAGCTTACCCTCGCCCTCATTTTTGTCGCCCTCGATCAATCGCTTCGTAAAGATTTCTCGCTTCGCGAGCCCGTACACTCCGACCTCAATTCGTCTATCCAGCCCTCAACGTTCCGCTATCGCGCATCAATCAGCGGTCTTCATAGCAGCAAGGCGCTCATTGGTCAAGGCTTTATTGCAGGACAAGCTCGCACTGCGGGTGGGCTTAATCTAACTTCTGCTCATTCTGCATCCCACTTGCAGCCATCGAAGCCGCGATTGAAGCATTAGGAGATGTCGGGTGGAGGCTTGCCGGTACCAGCGTCAGCTGGAGCCATGCAGGATGGCTTTCGATCAGCCTTGACCATGGGTCGAGCTCGTATTCGATGGGTTCTGGTGCTAGCAGTGGTCCTATCGCTCATGCTACTCTTTGCGGTCTTTGGATCGGAAGAGGATAGTTCGACAAGGCTGGGTCGTCTGCACACCTCTGCATCAGGTCTGTTGGGACTGAACGGCAAAGTAGGAAGCAGACCGGGACCTGCGGGAGTTGCTCCCGGCGGTCTTTCGGTGGACGAAGCTCTAACGCAAGATTTCGACCCGTGGGTCAAGGGCTCAGGGAGGACAAATCTCACATACCACAGCCATTTCAACCAGGATGATTTGACGCTGTGCGAGGATGAATGCGACGCCTTCTTCCCTGGTTTGTGGAAGGAGATCGATAGGAGTGTCGAATTCTTTACAAAGAAGCAACAGTGAGTATACGCGCGTACAGCATGCATCGTCTAGATGGGTGCAGCTCTTGAGTCACGTTCTGCAGCACCAACCACCGCCTGCACTTTGAGATCGCTTCATGTACCCTCACATGCTGACGCTGATCTTCATCCTGTGAATGCGGTCGCGAGCAGATACAACAAGGAGTACTTGGAGTTCAGTTGCGACGATGGCATCTGGACGCACGCTCGCGTGGTCATCTACAATAACCGAATGTACCTCAAATACTACCAACAATCCGACTTCACTCGGTCGCAAGCTGCTCTTGCTCTTTTGCACTTGGCTGTCAGCACGAGCAGGGAGAGACTACCGAATGTGGAATTTTGCATGGGCATGATGGATTGGGGCAGCAGAGGCAAATTTTCGCTGGATAGAGCTCCAGACTTGGAAGATGTCTGGCTCATGCCCGACTATGGCTGGTGGAGTTGGCCAGAGGTGAGCGAGGCCCGCAAAGCCTTCAGAGGGCAGGACGGCTGCATGGCAAGCGCGAGGAGATCAGGGAGGTATGCTGCATGCCTAGCTGCATCTTTGCTTAGTGCCCGGCCCTGAGTATCATCTGCAAAGCTTGCGGCTGACCATCTGGACCGTTCGCTCTGCCCCACCTTGACAGCACGTCGGCTCATACCAAGAGCTCCGCGAGAAGACTGCTAGAGTGGAGAAGGAAGTCGGCTGGGCCAAGAAGATCAATAAACTGATGTGGAGGGGAAGCATGAGGGTCGGCACGGCTGATCGTGAAAGTCTGGTCGCAGTTGCTCGAGGTCATGACTGGAGCGATATCAAGGCCTTGGACTGGGGAGGTGAGTAGCGCTGCGCGCACCCTCAGGGTACTCACCAGAATTGACTGAGCGATCTTGTATGCAGATCCTTCCACGCAAGTCTCGATGGAGGACCACTGCAGGTGGAAGTTCCATGGCTTCCCAGAAGGCAACACTTATTCTGGAAGACTGCGCTACTTGCAAAACTGCAGGGTCGTCATCGTCACGCATGAACCTCGCTGGCTGCAGCACTGGACACACCTGTACAATGGAGATTGGAAGTCGCCAGATCAGAACATTGTCTACGTACCCAAGCCTCAAGGCGAAGGGCAAGGTGTACTGGTTCATGATGGGGATGGCAAAGCATCTTACGATAGGACTTGGGAGCGGCTGCCAGAGACGATGGACGCGCTCCTAGCCGACGATGCGCACGCCAAGCGGGTCGCAGATAATTCTTGGACCTTTTTCAGAGAAAGGTAGGTGGAAAGCGGAGCGCTCGACGTTGACCTACCAGAGATGCTAAGTACTTGCCCTTCTTTGCCTATGCAGATATGTCACTCCTGCAAGCGCCACTTGCTACTGGCGTAAGCTCTTGTGGGGCTTTTCGAAAGTGAGTCGAGGCAGCTGTGCTCGCTGCGATTGGAGCGAAGCTCACTTTCAAGTTGATGTCAATACAACAGGTGCAAAAGTATCAGGTCGACCTCTCAGGTAGTGAGACAAGTTACGAATCTTGGATCTTGAAGGGTATGAAAGGCACACGTGAGTACTGCATGATGATCAGTCGCACTTGTGATGATGTGCGCCAAAGTTGATCCGGTTATTCTTGTCAATCTCAGATCATCGTCGAGACGAGAATGAAAGCCGGAATCTATCTGACGCGGAAGAGCAGGAGCTTGCCAAGGCTGCTTCTTACGAAATTCTGAGACGAGCGACCATGGAGCGAGAGCCTTGAATACGGCTGAAAGGCGATTGCGAGTGGCAAAGGCAGGCGATGAGACGGTGCAGTCGGCGATGACTGGGCAGGAGTAGCAAAACCTCTGCTTCACTTCTGCACGCTGTTCAGAGGAACAGACAGTTCCGATCGCGTAGCTTCTCTCCCTCTTTGACACGCACCGACATCAACTGTTTGGCAATGCTCCATGTCTGCGCTAACCAATTCGAATGTACATACGATGGACTCGTGTTGGCTTGCGATGCCTTGGTGACGAGCGTCGAGATGTCATGAACGTCTCGAGACTTCCTGACTCGTGCAAGGGCTACTATGCCTGCGCTTGGGTCGCACACGTCAGATTTTGCGGCATGAATGGGATGCAGGTAGCGCGCTTCACAGGTGATGCCTTCATCGCATGATGTCATTAGAGATGCTGGGTGGAACGAAGCGGCAACGAGAGGGGGGAAAACGAGATGGGCTTCAAGGCATCATCGAGACCGAGACGTACGAAGTTTGAGCATGAAAGAGGCACTACAGGGGCTTACCATCCTTCGAGCAAAGACGACACAGGTGCCTCGCAAGATTTGATCTTCTAGGGCAAGCGTCCGATGCGAGCGCGAGATGTGCTCTACGTGCGAGACGCTAGGCCTGTTGCCAAAATGTCCTGGACCTTGTCGATGGCTGTTCCGCGCATGTGATGTCTCTCCTTTGGCGTCAGTCCACTCCGCGGACCTGCCTTGACGGTCTGGTCAGATTCATCAGAGACGTGAGAAAAGGCGTCATGGCTCTGCGAGCGTGTGGGGGCTCGACGCAAAGAGGACGTAGGGGTGAAGAAAACGTCGTCCGAGCCAGTGCCGGAGGATGTGGTCGAATTGAAGCGTTTAAGTAGAGTGCGGTTGGATTGAGATCTGGATAAGCCGGCTTTGGGTGCTTCGCTTTCTTCATCATCGCCGCTCGCGAGCGCCAGTTGATATCGGCGCGGTGGTCTTCGAGCCATCGCAGCTCGACGCTGGGGGGATGAAGGACAGCTGGGCTCGCCTTCAATTCTGCATTTGGCGGC